TCTAAGTAGTCAGCCTTGAACAACCAATCTACTAAGTGCAGTGGATAGATGAACAAACAGCCCCGGTCACATGAAAAGTGTTAAAGTTATACATCTTGAATTCTCAAGGACTTTAAATGAGGCCAATCATATATGTCTCATCAATAACCTCAAACTGTTACGTATCAAGTCACTGTTAGTTAATCGGCTTAATTCAGATCTAAGTGATAGAATCTCTAGGGTCATTGTAAAAGTCACTACTTCTCAGGGTACAGAACGTCCTAGTGAGGTCCCCCAAAGTTCAGCACTGGGACCACTTGATATTTAGTTTGTAGAATTATGGTCTACTATGATATTAGTACTGCTCTAATAATAGACCTAATCCTAAATTTGTAGATTTGTCATGATATAACTGCCTAATCTATAAGATCTTACGTGGAAGTCACACCATCGACTGCACCAACTCACTGTATCGTATCAATTACCAATACATGATGTAGAACAAGGTTAGGCTACAGAAGGAACAATATATTTAATATGAATAGAAGATATAAGGTAATATTCAGATGGACCACGCCTGCATGGCCGAGCCATGCCATCCGATCAACTCCAGTCCATTCAATTCATTAATCGCGCCTTCTCCATCGTTAGGTATTTCTCCGCGTTAAATATTGAATATCTATTTTCTGAGTAGTCTCGTGTTCACAGCTTTGTGGATTGTGTGGCTATTGTCCAATGCCACTACACTACTCTCCCACCAGAATCAACGTGATGTTGGTTCGATACCAAATTGGATGGGATCGTCGCGCGCCGGGGGTTACCAAGGATAATAAGGGTCCTCCGGGTATTGATAAGCTGAAAGATAAATAAAAAAGGCGGCAGCATCTGGTCGGGAAATACATGTAATAATTTTAAAATATCTGCCTTCATGCTTAAAACGCTTGAAATGAAAATTTGGGTGAAGATTATTTGAGCTATAAAAAATGGGGTTACAATAATAATAATAAAACGATGCGTGTTAATAGCCGTTGGTTAATAACTTAACGTATAGGTAGTAAGTATTTTGCGTTTAGAAATATTAAAGTGATGAATATTGTAGAAATGTTAATATTGGTATTAGTTTTGGTTTAAATTATGAAATCAAATAACGATTATGCCGGTAAGTTGTCCATATGAGTTGAATTCCAATTGCATCTGTATTAGTAGGCTAACTGAAGGAACAAAAGTATACCGTGGAGAAGAATTCCAACTAGTGTTCCAGTTAGTTTGATACGGTTTATTTAGTTACGGGGAGATTTTCTCAACCTCATTTTTACTTGACCGTGATAGAATTTAGTAATACTACTAATACACATGAATGGTTATCAAAATAAAATTTAAATACATGAGTGATAATTATATGAATTTTGGACAGATAGCTAGGAACAAATCGTTAAACATGAGTGTATTCGTAAGAGACATGCTCTGGACTCAATGTTCTGATCTGCGGTAGACTATTTATTTATATTTATACTTGCCGGCTGATTGGGCATACAAGTTAGTTGCAAGTATGCAGTTTATCATAAGGCGGAATACGATTTAATTGAGATATAGTGGTTATAAGTTATTGAAATCAGTTAAGCCTATGTGTCATATTACTAAGTGATGTGGTGCTGCAAGATGTATTTGGCTAAATAAGTTTTTACAAGATGATTAATAGTGAGTGATGCTCATGTGATTATCAGGGAGTACATAAGTTGTAACCAGGGGGAGTACACTCCCAACTCATGTCTATGATAATGGCTTGAACCTTAGTCAGTGTTGGGGTAAATTCGACATTGATGTTTTCAGTTTGCAGGAGATTTGCTCGACTGCTTATACTGATTATTTGCATGCATGATTGTGTCGCTAAACCATCAATTAGACTGACAAGGTTTTGAGATATTTACTGAATGAGCAACTGAGAGAGAAACATACTGTAATCATCTGTGATGGATGAAGATACCAAGAAAACAACACCATTTAATGGTAATTATAAGTCAATTTGTTGACCGATTTCGTTAATAGTTTCATTAATTTTATCAGTCATATTACGTGATTGTCAAGTTATGACAATGCTTTATGACGATATCCTGAAACTATTATGTTTAACTAGTTATAGTGTTGAATGAGGATTAGTCAGTGGAAAAATAGGTATTGTTGCTTTAGGTGATTCGAAATCATCAGAAATTTATAACGTTAAAGAATCCGAGACGCCTAATTTAATTATAAATTTCAATTCAGAAATATTCGTTTAGTGTTAATTCTAGTAGGCTACGGAGTTTTGATTTTAAACGTTTGTTTAGCCAACAGCTACCTGGGGATTTAGTTATTTTACTAGTGCAGTTGATAGTACCTAAATTTTTAATCTTATTATCTAAACTATGTTCGCATTTTAGGCTGCTAATATGATAAACCAATCTATAAACCCAAATACGATTAGCAACAACGACTATGGGTTTATCGATAAATGTTAAAGGTGATTCAAATGATTTCTAAATTTAGAAGACATGAAGATATAGTGCAACGCATGTATGGGCCAGGTTAACATGCAGGTTGTTGACGTATATGACAATTTGAAAATAATGAACATGATGAGAAAGATAATTTTAAAGTTAAGACTGCTTATGAAACTTCAGGCAAGAATATGACGCGTTATAAACAATCCGTAAGAAGTTAATGCATTTAGCCTAGGGACACTTACAAATATATGGCAAAAGCAACTAGAAAACATATACATGTTAAGTACAAGAAATCATTAAGTAAAATAGTTGAACTCGCCTGGGTTATTTTTGAAAATTAGATTACTCAGTGGACGACATATATAACGCCATTCGTGAGTAGTAGTGCTCCAAAAGCATCCAGAATAAAACATGCAGTATGACAATGACTTCCAGGGTGCTTGATGCTGTCGAGGTTTTTGGGACTCACTCTGATCAGAACAACTGAATGAATCCAGATAATTGTGTGTGCCGTTGAATGAGCCATCTAAAATGAACTTATGATTGCAGAAAACGTATAGCTGGAACTCACCGTATTTTTTTGGAGAAGTGTCACCCTTGTTGTTTGGCAATGGAACTCGAGAATATGAAATTAGGCAGGCAGTGGTCGGAAGAAAAGATATTACAGGATAGTGCATAGTTTAAAACAGGATGAGGTGTTAAGCGAAGGAACACTAAGAATTAGATCCAGATAACTATTCAATCCTTGATTGCATTGTTAGTCAATGTATATTTACGCTATTAACAGGTCATATTTGCTAGAGCTTGATGTTTAAACAAGTCTATGTCGCTGAAGCAGGTAATAGCTATTAAAGCTTGTTAACGAACCATCAAAGCTAATTAGTTGATATAGATGATCAACTTTTATCATCGATTGAGCTAGTAAGTTATGTAAACTAATAGATATAACATTACGATAATATATGTGACCATTAATCAAAGGACTATTAGAATACTGGGTTTACAAAAATAAAAACCGATTGAGAAGGTTAAGGTGGAAATAAGGATTAACAATAATAGGTTGCGTTTCTTTAGTTGGGCTCACCAATGTAGAATTATGGTCTACTATGATATTAGTACTGCTCTAATAATAGACCTAATCCTAAATTTGTAGATTTGTCATGATATAACTGCCTAATCTATAAGATCTTACGTGGAAGTCACACCATCGACTGCACCAACTCACTGTATCGTATCAATTACCAATACATGATGTAGAACAAGGTTAGGCTAGAGAAGGAACAATATATTTAATATGAATAGAAGATATAAGGTAATATTCAGATGGACCACGCCTGCATGGCCGAGCCATGCCATCCGATCAACTCCAGTCCATTCAATTCATTGATCGCGCCTTCTCCATCGTTAGGTATTTCTCCGCGTTAAATATTGAATATCTATTTTCTGAGTAGTCTCGTGTTCACAGCTTTGTGGATTGTGTGGCTATTGTCCAATGCCACTACAAGTTCATATGAAAGACCTTCCCAAGCGAATCTCATCTAATTTACAACTCTTCACTGATGATGTGAAACTTTGGAGAGACGTTTGAGCCAAGATGACAAACTGGCACTTCAGGAGAATTCAACTCGTTTTCAAAGGTAGGCATATAACAACAAACTTACTTTTACCCTTCCAAGGTATAAACTAGTCCATCCGAGACAAGTTGCAGACTGCGCATGCAACTTAGGTAATTGCCATTTAGAGGCATTTCTGGTCAGTTTGACGACATAAAATTCCATTTAATTTCTAACGGTTCTATTCGATCCTATTTAGGGTATGAGAATGTACTGTTTACTCTCTCATTCCAGAGGGATAACAATACACTGGAATGTACCGAACGGCGAGCCACGAAATCATTTCGGGGACTCAAAGTCAAACCTTATAAAGTGGGCCCCAAGTCGTCGAAATTTTACCCATTAGAGTGTATGTTTCTGAACGGATACCCTCTAATGACCCATAGCATCCCGAACACTCCTGAACACCCCTTTAAACACCTACCTGAGGGTAACACCCAGAAATTATAGACACAACGTGAATTGCCAACTTTTGGGATGCTCGTCCGCCTGGGATGCTTTAAGCGACTATCCAGGTGTTCCAAAAGGGGATACTTGACATTGTTCTAAGGATTCAGGACAAAGTCTTACGATGATTATCTAATATTTTCTTTATAATCATTAAATATACAAATGTTCCTACTTTGAGGCATCGTTGGTCCACTGCTGCTAGATATGGGAGCTCGTTAAGCAAACGATTCTTTTACTCCATCATGAAAAAAGTGAACCACTTCAATAAACAGAAAAATTTCAAAAAACAATGATAAATAAATTCATAATCGAGGTACTTATCGCTACAAATGCTATATTCGAGCGGATAGAAAAACTTAACTAGAGGCTCAAAAATGAGAGTATTACTTGGGAGCCAAAAGTGAGCAACGAGAAGTCAGCCGGCTTATTCTAGATAGTCACGAAGATATTGCATATTATTGAGGCTCTGAATAATGGAGGGCACTACAAGTTCCACATTTTCGGCAGAAATTTAAAGGGTTTGGAGAACAACTCTGTTGTTTGTAACATGCTCGTTTAGCTAACTTTCTTTAAGATTCGATAACATGAAACTGATCTTTATCGGGTTTAAAAACCTCAGTAAAACAATTCACTTATATGGGTGTCATTAAAAACCCAGAATTATCTTGGAAATCATTCTGTCGGTCATAGCATGTTTTACAACTGTTTTCGGTCATTTTAAGTGTATTTATCTTTAAAAAATGTGACCGGAAAAACGGAAGCTAGATTTAATGGCTCGGTTTGGGGTTGCGTTCTTTTTTACTTTTGTACATTTATGTGTATTGGATGCATCCAATATATATATGATGAAGAGCGAAAGTAAATCAGATCTAGGGTAAACAAAAGTATAAGGACCAACCGTGAGCAGTTGTGGGCAACGAAAGCAAAAGAGATGAAAATGGAAGCGGCTGTAGGTAAAACAAGACAGCTCTTCAGACTAATAAAAGAAACTGGAACTAAGAAGTCAAGTGTTATTGAGACGACAGCCTTATTGTTCTTAGCCCAAACGTTTAGAACGATGGGCGAAACAGTTTATCTGGCCTTCAGCTAATCTACAACTTGCCTTAACTCCCAAACAGCCTGAATGGAGTATTGAGGTTGGTCCTCAGACTCGAGTTGAGTTTCAAAAGCTATGGCTAATCTGAAACCATTAATAGCAGCTGGTCCAGATGGATTAGCTTCAGAGGTCTTAAGTACAGTAGTCGAATTTTAACGATTAGGTTAATGTCGGCCAAACTGAAACGTGGATTCAGTGCTTGAAGTCGCTAACTTCTAGTCTGGACCATGTTGGCAGATGCAAACTATTTGGTTGTAGTCCGCGTGACTATCGTAATCAATGGTTGGAGACTCTGTGTGACATGGCTCAGAACCGATCACATTGGCGTAGGTGTATGCACTCTCTATCTTCCCTTAATCTATGAGATTTACATTGCTTTATATCTTTATTTCTACCAACTAATTCTTTTTGTACTATATCCTTATATGTTATATTTTTCTTATATATGACCAACATTGAAGTAACTACCTCTATGAATTTAATGTCCATCTTGTTGTGCTAATGAGGTATGGCAACTTGGACCGATGCATATATGTGCCTGGTCCTACGTTGTAGCTGACTGACTGATCCAGTACATCATAGTAATTAATGTACTTGATTGAATATTAAAGTACGGCCATGGTCAATGTCAACCTTGGGCCTAGAAACACAAGCAACCTTTAGATATCTTCATATATGGCGTTGTCTGTCGTCAGATTTGTTGAACTTATTCACGCTATGTTTCTTTGATTCTCATGACACCATGTCTTCAGCCTCATAATACGTGAAATAAGTCATATGTTCTCGTCTATATAATGTACATAAGTTACTTGATGCGTCAGCTGGCTTTTATTAACTGTAACAAGTATTGTTTAATTCCCAGATCCATTTTCGCTTATCAATCTATTTAAACTTCATTGATCTGAACATTTCGCTAACTGCCGGTTGCCAGAGAAAAATACACTACCCCATCGTGGTATATGACCAAGAATTCCACATTTCAGTCGGCTTCCCTATGTACGAAATTCTTAATTGTATATTTTATTCCTTCTTGTTCATATCCGGTCTATATTTCGCCGGTGGAAAGTTTCCAAGGTAGGTACGCTTGAATAAATTCACTGGTCAATTGTAGAGACCATCCGGAAACAATCAAGAGAAGAGTTGTTTCCGTGTTCGTGACAGGAACTATTTCCATGATTCATATACTGACGTACATACGTTCCTATGATCGTCCTCCGGTTAGTGCGATCTTATTAATAACTTCTTCTAGTTTCAGTTATCTTCATATGAATTTGGGAAACTGTTTATTAGGCTGGATGGCTTATTAGAAGCAGTTATTATATCTGTCATACTTACTTTGGTTTGTTGTTATTGTCTCTGATATTCATACAAAATCAGGTCATGTACTTTGGCGTTGTATTGGATGATATATGTAGTGGAGATATGTTAGTCATATTTGGTAATGACCACTATCATTGCTTTTGTGTTTTAGGTTTTCTATATTTTTTCTATATTCTAACTCGGTGAACACAATATTTCGTACACCGAAATTAGTATATAAACCAAACTCAGATTGATGTAAAAATGCGGTTTAAAATTAAACCGATCCAATAACGGCGATATATATATATATATATATATATATATATATATATATATATTGAACTCATTAGTTGGCATTTATGTGTTTGGATGTAAATGTTTTTTTCATCACGATTTTGCCCAAACATTTTGTGTTGTTTCATACAAAATTACCAGTTTTGTTTTCATATTATCCTTGCCCAAAGATTAGGCCAAACAGCCAGATGTTAGTTGGTTGAAAAATGAGTGGCATACAAGCCAATTTCCTCCGATGACCTATGATATTTTATGTTTATTTTGTGTCCTCAAATGCCCTGGTACGGCCGAGAGTGGGGAGAGTCAGCTCTTCCTCTCGAAATGCTCTCAAATGGCCACGCGTATATAGCCTCCGCTATTGTGTTGTCTACGAAATTGAGAGGACAAAAAGCAAATGTCCGGCTCTTTAACCGAATTAGTGGACACGGAGAGTCCACCTAGGGGGAGTTGTAAAACCCTGATTCCAAATCAATGGTTTACATGGGCTCCAGTATCCTCAAAGAACAAATGTCGTATGAACCAATCGTTGGTCACCGGCTACCATGGGACTGCATCAATTTATATTGTTCCAGTGCCCTGTGGATCAGACCTTTAGGTCGAAGGCTCGAGGTGTGGCCTCTTAAGAAAACGACTTGTTTCGGTTTGGGTAACCGGTCAGTATCACAGCCTTTACATATATCAAATGAGATTTGTGTGGCGCATGTGTATCTGGTGCCTGCCTGTACCAATATCTTTGTGTTAAAATCAATCAATAAAATCATATTTTGTATAGACATGCTACTTTACTACATGAAAAATCGTTCATCTGGCTAGTTATAATGTCTCTGATTTCCAATCATTCGGGGGCCTAAGTCAATTATACGGTTTCATGAGTCGCCATCACTCGGTCAAATTATATCATTACGTTTATCTATCGATTCTAACCGAAATTTCGTCTCACGTCATAACAATAATATGAGAGTACATCCACATATTTTTACATAATGTAAATTTGTTCAAATCTCCATATACAAAATTGCATACATAATTTTGACATCACTAAGAGCTCTAAATAAGTTTGTTCTTGTGTATGTCTCAACTCGATAAAAGCCTTCAAAACTGTCTCAATGTATTATCTGTGATGATACCGCTTTTCAGTTTATACATGTCCCAGTTTTAAACTGTTTGATCAATAAGTTAGAATTAGTGAAACATAGACAGTGGGATTAATAACTAAGAAATGTGGATTTCAATTCGACTAAAGCATTAGCCTTCCCTTAATACTAACAATCATACCAAAAACAACAAACTTCATGATCAAAAAAATGTGTAAACTTAAGGTTGTAAAGAAAGACTGAATCTACGATTTCGATATTTTCCTGTTGATTTATCTGTTTACTTCGTGTATATATCGAATAAAACGGATCGATTTACTTTGGATTTATTACTTATAGATGTTCAGTACTGGAAAGATCGTATATTTAACTGGATAAGTTTGAGAAATTTTGTAATAGCTCCTTTGGCTGAAGAACTTATCTTCCGTGCATGTGTTACATTTCATCTACTTCCTTTGTTCTCATCATGTGTTATGCTTTGTTTCGTTAGTTCATTATTTTTCTCTTTAGGTAAGTATTGTTTTGAAACTCGTACATAACTAGGACTTGTTCTGATTTTACTTATTACTTGATAATATTCATTAGTTATTGGTTTACTTTGATGCGGATTTTATAACTGTTTCTTTTTTATACTCCTGACCACCTCTCTACCTATTGAGTTAGAATTTTCACTGAAGTAATTTTTGAAAGTTATTTCAACCAAAGTTTATTCAATTCGCCTGCTAAAGGCGTGATGACTTAGTGACTGAAGCGGTTAACTTTCATCCATTTATTCACAGGCTGGAATCCTGCTATATCTATTTTAGATTAGTAAGCTACTTAGTTTCATTCGTTTTATCACATAGAGTGGGGTGTACTTCAATGATAACCGCATAAAAATTTACCAGTTTGAATTCAAAGTCTGCTTGCTTCCAACAAGTGACATCTTATTCCCCAAAAAACGCAGACACAAAGCAACACTGGATCACTTTATAGAGAACCAGATCGATCACATTTTCATCAATAAAGAGTTCGTAAGGTCAATGAAATACGTGAGAACACAGAGAGGAACTAATATAGATTCACATAACCGCCTGATGGTGGCCAAGATGAAACTGAAGCTAGAGAAGCACTGGGAAACGGAGAAACGGGATTAATAAGTTTAGTACAGCCTTCCTTCAAGATACTGACAAACTCAACGAATTCAAGATAACTCTCGAGAACAGGTCCCAAGCCTCACAAGACCTTTTCAGAGAAGCGGAAACTACTCTGAATGAAAACTTGAAAGGGATTAAAGAGGCAGTAACTTTGACATACCAGGAGGTCTTGGGCCACAAGAAGCACTATCGTAGAAAAGTGATCTCCATAGATACCTGAACAAGATTCAATAAAGGAAAAACAAGAAGATGACAATCACTAACAGACAAACAAGACCAGAGAAAACACAAGGCAAATACACAGAAGCAAACAGGCGAGTGAAGAGGATCATTAGATTTGATGAGCTGAAATATGTGGAAGACCCAGCAATGACAATGTAAAAAGCTGCGAGAAAAAGAAATAAAAGACAACTGTAAGACAGCAAAAGAGCTCACTGGAAAATATTGTAAATCCGAGCGACCAGTCAAGAACAAAAAAATCATACCGTTCACCGGAATTCAAAAACAGAGGAACAGTTAGTTAGAACACTTAAAACCTATTTGTCGAAGGCATATTGATTTGCAAAACTCCCTATTTTCGTTCCTTTCGCCTAATCCGTATCTCCATATGCAATCATTATTCTCGGTGTTGTTCAATCCGACCCTCGCGTTTAGGTCTCATATTAGGTTGGTCTTTCTTCTGGTCAGTCTTTTTCTTATCAGGGTTGTTTTCTATAGGATCTGGTTGCTGACCCCATGGCAAACCCTCCTGCTTTATCCTCCAAACGCTCTGGTACGGCCGAGCGGGGGAAAGTCAGCTGTCCCTCTCGAAATCGAATAATTTATGTGGCGAATATTTGTTGCCTCCTTGTACCAATGTTTATGTGTTTAAATAAATAATCCGGGCTTGGGACTAGCAGTAATCCTAGAAGTGCTCATGATGGTGAAAAATAACTTAAAATATTATAAATCTTATAGGTTTAATTAAAATAATTACCTTGCTCCCATTTTTTACAATGGTTGACTTCTACTTTGGTATCCCAAGCTGGATCATCCGTCCAGCTGCCTTAGTCATTTGTTCATTATTAGTTCCAGCTGAATGTGTACACAACTACATGTAGTTCCACTGATAAATAGTTAAATGCATGTACCTATATGTGCTAATAAACTGTATACAATATTAAGTAGAAATTCCTCTTTGATTAAGTCAAGTACTTTGTAGGTTTATACCAATTATTTTTTGTTGTTATTGTCGTTACATGTAGCCCATTTTCATCATGTTTTTGAATCAGTGAAAAGTGGTCAAGATCTGCAATCTGCATTTAAAACTTCACGTGAGTCCATCTATATTTCACTAACTTTTTTTCATATTGAATAAAGTAGCTATATTAAATCAACAAATCTAATAGTTATACACGTCGTTTATGCTGTGTTTAACTACTCATGTTAAACAATTACTAAAGACATATGAAGGAATCTGTTAAAGACAGTAAAAACATTATCATCTCACGAATAAAAGTGCCTAAATCAAGAAATATCGTTTTTTCGTTTTGCTCGCATATAGCAGAGCTAACGTGTGAGTAATGCTAACGTCAAGGATAAGTAAAAATTATTTCATTTGATCAGTCTGTGAAACGTTATCGACTGAGGTAGCCGAAACATGTGGTACACATGTCTCGTAGATGAAATGCTTGTTATCGCAAGTTGAAGAAGGAGAGAGTTGGCCAAAGTAATTCACAACATCATTTCGTTACAGTCTTCGGCTGTTTTTCTAAGCCATATAAGAAAACATATACCCCATAAGAGTGTTTAAATTCGTTCATTTAAGTGCCTGTTTTTCGAAAATGATGACTATATGTATTCTTTTATTCGTCTTAAACAACAATGCAAATGTGCCTGGGCTACGTCCTTTTCCATCTGAATGTAAAACGTTACTTCAGGACTCACTGGTCTACGTTCCTGACAAGATTGTTTGCATTTATTCATTCGCCCCCTGAATGCCCTGGTACGGCCGAGAGTGGGGAGAGTCCGCTCTCCCTCTCGAAATACTCTCACACGGCCACGCGTATACAGCCTCTGCCAGGGAAGTCCTACTCATTGCCTTCTCGTGGCGGGGGTGTTGTTTACGAAAATGAGAGGACGAAAAGCGAATGTCCGGCGCTTTAACCGGATTCCAAATCAATGGTGCACATGGGCTCCAGTATCCTGCGGGAACGAATGGCGTATGAACCAATCGTTGGTCACCGGCTACCATGGGACTGCATCTCCTTACGATGCTCCACTGCCTTGTGGGTTAGACCTTTAGGTCAAAGGCTCGGGGAGTGGCCCCCTAAGATAACCACCTGCTTCGGTTTGGGCACCCGGGCAGTATCACAGCCCACACACAAATGATGAACTCTTTATGTCTATGGAAATTACTTTTGTCGCTTTGAAAAACAAACAATTGATTCAGATTATTATCATTACAATTATTGTCATTATTAATACTAATATTATTATTACTACTATTATTGTCATTATTGTTATTATTATCATTATTATTATTATTTTCCACATTATTCACCCTCTTTTATACTTATACAGCGGCTCGTCTTTGGTGGAATTCCGACTGTATCTAAACGTTCTCGAGTCACTGTCCGGTTGAAAATTGTATGTTACCACCGAATACGAGGACTGAAGCAGATTTTCTGAAACCACGTGCACCATTCAAACTGGCTGCCTTCAACGTTCGCACATTTATGCAGGTCGGACAACAGATAGGGCTGGCTATGTCTTTGGAAAGTCTTAATATCGACGTGTGTTGTCTATCCGAGACCCGTATTCAAGACTCTGGCGAAGTACTACAAATTCGATCTCCATCTGTCGCTTCGAAAAGCTTGTTTTACGTGCGCTTATCCGGGGACCCTGTGGCATCTTCGTCTGGTCTTGCTGGCGTTGGTGTCGCACTAAGCGCTAGAGCTGAGGCAGCACTAGTCGATTGGATCCCCATTAACAGTCGGTTATGTGCTGTTAGATTAGAAAGTTCCATCAAAGTGAGAAGAAATCGGCGTGAGAAACGATGTCTTTTCGTCATCTCCGCCTATGCCCCGACAGATTGCAGCCCGGATGCAATCAAGGATGAGTTTTACCACCAGTTATCAGTTCTTCTCCAGAAAGTGCGTTCGACAGATATTGTAGTACTAGCCGGAGACTTGAATGCTCAGGTCGGGCGTCTAGGCACAGAAGAGAGTCGTTTAGGTGGCCGATGGGGACTCGTTGGTCGCAGGTCAGATAACGGGGACCGTCTACTGCAACTTTGCACAGACCACAACCTGTTTCTGGCTAGCACTAACTTTCGGCACAGTCATCGCCGATGTGCCACCTGGCGTCCTCCCTCTGCATCTCAAGCCTGGACTCAGATTGATCACATCGCGATCAGCTACCGCTGGCGTGGTTGTGTACAAGACTGCCGCTCCTTTTGGAGTACCTATCTGGACTCTGACCATGCCTTGGTCTGCGCCAATCTTGCCTTACTTTTCAGTGGACAACGAAGTGAACGCCATCAACGGATTGATGTTAGCAAGCTGGTTGCAACTTCTGTTGCAAGTAAGTATCGAACCGAGCTAGCCTCTAGGCTAGCTACCACTCCACCGAAAAGTATAGATGAGCATTGGTTGCAATTGCATGACGCCATGAAAATGGCGGGAACAGTCAGTTGTGGGTTTGCGAAACGTCCCGCTTTTAAGCACTGGGTTTCTTCTGGTTCCTTACAACTCATTGAAGCCCGTCGGTCTACTCCGGGTGACCGTGAGTTTGACCATAAACGAAGGATGTTACGTAAGGAAATTGGGCAAAGCTTGCGTAAGGACCGAGAAGCCTGGTGGTCGATGCGTGCTAATGAGCTGGAAGCAGCAGCTGCATCTGGTAACTACCGGAAGCTCTTCCAACTCATCCGAGCCACTGGCAGCAAGAAGTCTGGTGTGAGTGAAACAATCTGCGAGGATGATGGGATGCCAATCACTAACATCCATCGACGTCTTGGACGATGGGCAGAATTTTTCGAAGGGCAGTTCAACTGGCCTGCTGCTCCGGCAACATCGGTCAGACTGTCCTGCCCTCCATGGCCGGTGACGACTGATCCACCAAATGAGGAGGAAGTCCGCAAGGAACTCCAACTCTTGAAGCGTTACAAATCACCTGGCCCAGATGACTTACCTCCGGCTCTTTTTAAAGATGGTGGTGACTTTTTGACTAAGGAATTGACGACGTTGTTTACAAAGGTTTGGGAACTAGAGAGTGTACCAACGTCATGGAATGAGTCGATAGTTGTCCCTATCTTTAAAAAGGGTTCACGTCGTTCTTGTAACAACTATCGGGGGATAAGTTTACTTCCGATTGCGTCCAAGCTATTGGCTTCCGTCATTCTTCGTAGGTTGTTCAAAACCCGAGAAAGATTGACTCGCGAGGAGCAGGCTGGGTTTCGTTCTGGTCGAGGATGTATTGATCATATCTTCACCCTCCGCCAAATGTTAGAACACCGCCATACTTTTCAAAGGCCAACAATCGTAGTGTTTCTTGACATCAGGGCTGCCTTCGATTCGTTGGATAGGACTGTTCTCTGGGATTGTCTATTGAAGAAGGGTGTGCCTGAGAAGTTTATTAACATCCTAAAAGCCCTGTATAAAAACACCTCAGGCAGAGTGAGGGCATACAACCACCTCTCTCCATTGTTCCATTCGAGCAGTGGGGTTAGGCAGGGTTGCCCAATCTCACCATTCCTCTTCAACTTTGCCATCGATGACATTCTGGAAACAGCTCTGATGAATGTAAGTAATGGTGGTGTGGATCTGTTGCCTGGAGAAAGACTTCTCGACCTTGAGTATGCGGACGATATTGTCTTACTGTGCGATAATGCCCAAGGCATGCAATCCGCACTTAATCAGTTGGCAATCAGTGTCCGTAGGTATGGTATGTGCTTTGCACCTTCGAAGTGCAAAGTACTTCTACAAGACTGGCAGGATTCTAATCCTGTACTCACCCTGGACGGTGAGCAGATAGACGTAGTTGAGAAGTTCGTGTATCTGGGTAGCTGCATAAGTGCTGGTGGGGGTGTGAGTGATGAGATCAATGCACGAATAGTGAAAGCCAGAGCGGCTTATGCCAATCTGGGCCACCTTTGGCGCCTTCGTGATGTTAGTCTGGCTGTAAAAGGTCGGATCTACAACGCGTCGGTGAGAGCAGTTTTGCTCTATGCTTGTGAAACCTGGCCTCTCCGAGTTGAGGACGTTAGACGACTCTCTGTGTTCGATCATCGCTGTCTCCGAAGGATTGCTGACATTCAGTGGCAACACCATGTCAGTAATGCAGAGGTTCGGCATCGTGTGTTCGGGCACAGAGATGATAACTCAATTGGTGTCACCATCTTGAAACACCGACTTCGGTGGCTTGGACATGTTCTCCGAATGTCGTCCCAGAGAATTCCACGTCGTGCATTATTTGCCGACTCTGGGACTGGTTGGAAGAAGCGGAGAGGTGGTCAGTGCATGACATGGTGTCGTGGCATGAAAGAAAGCTGCAAAGGACTGGCTTGTGTTGGTCCTTCACGACTCCCTGGTTGGGGTCCGAGAGATGGTGCTACACAGTGGCTAGAGACGTTATCAGATATGGCTCAGAATAGAAGCCAGTGGCGATCCTGCTGTAACCTTCTTTTACTTTCTTCATAAAAAGTGGTTGTGTCTCCCTTACCTGAAAGATTTCTTCTGATTGTACCTCTTCGTCATTACTCTCTTTTTCTTTTGCGTTCCTTAGTTTTTTTTTTTTTTCTTTCTACTTCTCTTCGAATTCCCATTGTTTTGTGTGGCGCATATATATTGGCGCTCTCTTGTACCAATATTTATGTGTTCAAATAAATAAATAAATAAATAAATTTATTCATTCATTTCTTTAAACACATAAACATTGGTACAAGGAGACAACAAATATGTATGCGTCACACTTCATTATTCGATTTGTATGATGGCTGCGGGGCCGCTCGGACGCCCGAACCGAGAAAGGCTCAGAGAAAAAACCACCAAGAAATGGAATTAGTTTTCATTCTATTTCATGCATACTAGACCATTTGACTTCAAATGTCATTCAATTTTTATTGACATTGTTAACACACTTCTGAACACTTGAATAGTTTGCTTTTTGTATTAATTTTAAAATTTTACAATCTATATATAACACTCAATAATCTTTTAATTACTGTTTTGCAAGTTTGGTTATCTTTAAAATTTAACATCCTTTACTAATTTCCGAATATATACACAATCAGATAGGAGAGTTTCTTCTAAACTATTTGCTATGATATTCC